GGGTGGCCCTGGGCGAGCCACGACGTGCTCTGCGAGTGGCGTGCTCTGGAGTTTGCAGCGCGTTGAGTCGCAGGGTCGTGGCTTCTCTGGATGCCAGTGGAACCGAAATTCTTTCACCGATTGTAACAAACCCGCAGCGGCCACAGGACGCGTTTTTGATTCCGTTTCCTTTTTTAACTGACACTTTTTCCCGCTTGCAGACGCTGGTATCCAGAAGAATACGAGTTTGCACCAAAGAAGGCGGCTTCTCACAGGTGAGGTTTCTGCTTTTGTCCGTAACAGAGCACGGCTTGTCACGCAGGAACCGTGCTCCTCACGAGCAGAATACGGAACTCCCTTTGAATTCCGGGCGCGCTGCTTCTGGTGCAGACGAGGGCGGAGGCTGCGTGCTTCTGCTCCCTCCCGTACCTTTGTATCCTCCTGTCTGAAGCCTGGTCTGGATTATTAAAGTACAGAGAACCAGAAGTTTCCATATCTGTTCCGATTCACTCTGTCTCTGCTGTTCAAGCCAAGATGCTTGTTTGGCGATGTAGATACACCTATCGCTTCTTAGACGTCGCAGTGAGAAACGACGTGAGGACGGTAGCTTAGCAGTGGGTTTTACCTGCCCTTGTTTTGGGTGGAGTGGTTCACAGAGACACTGAAGTTGGAAGAGTGCAAATGGGGAGGTGAGGGTTCTGTTCCTGCCTGTTTCCTGAGTTTGTAACTTGGAGAGCTTGTTCTCCTTGCTGCGGAAGGGTTTAATTTTGAGTTACGCTCCTGCCAGCGTCTGGGGCATCCCTAAAAGCTGCAGTTGCCTCGTGGTTTCGGAAGAAAAGATTCTGTGCGATATTAACACATATTTCTAGAAAGCTAGGTTTTCTAGTTCTTCCGAACGGAGGAGACTGTGGGTCCTGTGCGATCGAAGAGGCTTTGTAAGTCCATACGTACTGTACGCTGTATGCACTGTAAGCGCATCACCATTTTGCTCTTCCGTCTGTGCAGACTAAAAGTAGAACAAAGTGTGAGACACCTGTGCGTTGAAGTGTCCGCGGCGGGCGTTTTGTAGGTGCCGTTTGGTACTTAGAGCTACGACCGTCCTAAACGATGGCGAAAAGGACTCGGTGAACCCTCACCTCTCTGCTGGGACGTGGCCGTGCTGGGCCGGAGAGGAGGCCCTGGTACAACAAGGGAAGGGATGACTTTTGTCGTGGGGGTCTCGGTCACAACAGCGGGGGGGTGTGCTGCGCAGCAGAGACGCGCAGCGAGATTACTGCTTCTGTACGGACCTTTCCGTCTGAGCAGGCAAGGCTGGCCGAAGCAGAGCTGAAAGCGGGTCTCTGGAGCCCCCATCTCTGTCCTCTCGGGTCGAATTGCTTTTAATAGTTGAAGCTGTGGAACCCGTTGGCTTTCAGGAGCCTCTGCGTCCCACGGTGACAGAAGCTCATAAGCTGCGTGTTACCGCTTGGCACGTCAGCGCTGGTGCACTTTTCTTGCGTTCCACGTACCCGAGAGAAGCGAGGGTTGTTTTTATTTCTGACAGATAGGCGATCCGTGCGTATCAGAGCTTGATTTCTTGCAGCCTGGAATTTTTCAGAATCGTTAGAATCCAGACGTAGCTGAAGATGCGTGCAGGCATTTTGAAACCCTCCGTAATTCTCTTTCAGAGCACTCGATGACATCAGGGAAAGCATCAAAGAGCTTCAGTTCTACAGAGATAGCATCTTCAAGAGGAAAACGGATGAAAAGAAAAGGAAACTAATAGAGAACGGAGAAAGCGATAAAACCGCCAGCTGATTTCTCATCTTACCGTGCCATCCTGTAGCACACACTACATGTGTCTCCCGGTTCTTTTCTGTTTGCTGGTCTCTCCAGAAGCTACACCCTTCAGTTACCGTGTTTCTTAAGAGCTGTTAAAATGCAGATGGAAGCCTAAGTTACTGCTTCTTTTCTGTTTGAGCAAGGGATCGACATGCTCGAGCCTCAGCAGCATCTTTGTTTGTACGTACTAGGTAAAACACGCCTCTTCATCTGGTTTTAGTTGCAGTCTTGCACTACACAATAAAAACAGTTCTGTTGAAAGACGGGGTTTTCCTACAGCCTTTCTTTTGTGCGTGCTCTAAGCTGCTAGGTGAACCAGCATCTCGTCGGGTTTGCGAAGGAGAATGTTCAGGGCGATTCTTTTGGTTATATAGTAATGGTATGTGCGCCTGTGGCATCTGTGGGCATTTAGCATCAGCCTTTGGTAATCACTTGGAAGGCGTCTAGCTGGTAACGCTTCCCGCTTTCACAACACGCTGGTGAGAATAGGGAATACCAAAAGCTGCTTCCGTGGCCTAAGCTGACCCGTGGGTCAGGTTTAGGGAGAAAGCGTTACTACTTTGTGGATTTGCAGTCCGGGGAAAGTGAAATATAAAAGGAAGGAGGGTATGGTGGGAGAGGGGCTGGAACTTTTCTCTGCAAGGAGCTCTCTCTCTGCAGCAACACTTTTCAGAGTTAAAATGAAAACGTTCTTAAAACGTTCTGTTTAATAACAGAAACGGTGGCATAACTCACTGTGGAACAGCTACGTGTGAATCGTGTAGCAGGGCAGGTAAACACGCGCGTAGCAGGGACAACTGTGATGCCCCAGGAATCAAGGGCACAGGCATTATGACTGAAAAAATGAAACACTTGCCGATTATCAGACAAAACCACACAAGTCACCGAATCAGTCTGCGTCTGCGCGTCCCCGGCATTTGCTGCACTTGTAATGCCTTTGGCGTAGTGGCTTCTAAGGGGAAGGTACTGCAGGGCTTCATTACAAACGTTAAGCTCTTTGCTAACGGAAATGTCAGTGGGGAAGGGTCTGAAGTGCTGGCCCAGACCCGCAGCGATGAGCGAAGCCGTCCCCTGTCAGCTTGTCGGTTCATAAGGGACGTATTCGTTTTCTTTAGTCACATAAATGCAGCAGCTAAATACAGAGGCAACTCGTGACTACGAGGGGAGGAATTGGGGACCCCTTGAAACGCTACCTTTCTTTTTCCTTCTGAGAAACCAGGTCTTGGCAGCACCTAACCGGGATGGGAACGGACGCTGCTGGAGGGAAATGCCTGGGCGTTCGCAGCCA